TTAGCGGGCTTTTTGTTATAACGGACATGCGTTCGCCTGTTACGCGTGATAGCAGATGAGAGCCAATTCATTCCACAACAAAATGACGGACTCGCGATGGCAAATAATAGTACGTCGTTTTTCGGACAGAATCAGCTGTTATCCAACCTTTATGCGCTGGACAAGCCGTCATCAAGATTTTAAATTCGGTTATTTACCTCAAATTGACAGTGTACTGCGTCGCAAGTAGCTTCCAGTACGACACAACGAAAGGTTCACGACCAACAAAAGGCAGCGTGGACTCCGAAATCGAAATACCGTCAAAGAACGATTGTTCTGTATGCGTCAGTGTTTTGGTGGGGAAATTACAAAGACCTTGAGTAAACGTCATACGTCATAAAAGTTCGGCCGATGTCCTCTGAGCGCGATAAAACCAAAAGGGTTGGCCGGTGATGCTTGCAACTCAGTTCTCTCGAGAACGAAGTAGCAGGTTATCTTGGATTCTTCCTAAATGGGAAATTTTTTATTCTTTATGCAAAAATGAACCGCAGAAATGATAGCAGGCTGGCGACAATCAATAGGGTTGTGCATATTGTAAGTAGAAGCGAGATTCATGTTCTGAGTATAGTGCCCAGTCGAGGAGACGTCACGCATTATTCCAGAGAAGCGAACGCATCACTGAAGAGGCTTATCTGCATACTCTACAAACTATTCTACGACCGTAAATCGCTGAAGGTCTGAAGGAAAATCATACGTATTCCAATAACGTGGTGCACCAACTCATACAACTGCAGGCTGGGCTGTTTCTGAGCACAAGTCTGTTCTGCGATAAGTGCAGATGACCGAACAGCCTAGATCTGATAAACAATAATCCAACAATGATCGCGTCGACTGCTTGCCTGTGCTATCGAGAAAGGGTAAAAAGGGAAGCGTAAAAAGAACATTTGAAATGAACCTGCGAGCGGCCTAGGAGCTAAATTAAAGCTGTGATAGCGGTAAATGGTAATTATTATATCGATAAAGAACATGACCGTCGAGAATGACACCTCCAACAAATATAAGTAAGTCATTAAAATATCTATTTCTACTTAAGTAGCGCCTTAGAAACACGTCAGACGAAAACGTCCACGTTCCGTGCCCAAGAACCAAAATATTAAACGTCGACATCGTTTTATTAACTAAAATTAGTCTCAATTTCAGAGCTTCCGTATTAAATCAAGGACCGTTCTTTTAGTTCCTTATCAGATGCAAGTGCTCTTCAGTATTTCTAATCATATTGTATTCTTTGATAACACTCGAAAAAATGAAGTGGTATATATAATAATTGTAGACTTCACCCATAATTATAGGTACCTATCGAGCTTTGCCTTTGTTGTAGTAGTTGATTAATTAATGTAATCTGATTTGCTCACCTGGCTGACGAAAACTATAGGCGAAGTGCCATATGAACAATCATCCTGTTGCAATTACTCATCAATCCTACAGCCATTCCCTCACGATGATTCTCATTCAATCAGTCTAATAGCGACAGACAAGCCCTGTTGTAAAGCTGGAATCGTCCCATGAATATTTGATTCATGTTACATCTAATCTGAAACTCTGTTACACCGATATTTTCACTTTGGTACAGTCACTCTTTTAACCCCTTATAGGCTAGTTCTGGTCAATTTACGATTTTTCCATCTACATATATTTGGCAAAATAACTTAGCTCAGCTCCAAAGTTACTCAGACAAACTTCAACAAAGCACCCGAGTTGACAATTTTATGCTAAGTTAATCTTCGACCGTGTATGCGACGCTAAGCTGAGACCTCACTACTTTACGATTACTGCCAAACTCCCATTGAAGTATTCTTGTAATTTCTATACTTTATTGCCATTCTAATGTCTTCCCACTTCGCCTAACAATATCGCCTGAAAAAAGCACTCATCCAATTGGGGAATATGGACCACGGTTCAGCCATTTGGCAAATCAACAAGAATCAGCATGATGCTCTTCGATGGAAAAAAACAAAATTTCTTCGCCGAAAAACGTGTTCGCACACTTGAGAAAAACGCACTATAGCGGCCTTTGTTTTATGATTTATGGCCTAATTTCGCGAAAATCGTCATTTCATTGCTAAATTGGACAAACATAGAAAAACAAACGAACATTGTAACTATGTGATACTATGTTAGACTGCGACCATTGCAGAAAGCTCGCACAAGTAACTCTTCAATAGAAACACTCGGTTGAGAAATTTTCAGCAGTTATCAAATCGTAGAAAACGACCAATTTGTCTAAATTAGAATTATGATTCATTGACTAAAAGAGAGAAGTATTAAAAAGAGAACAATTGGATGGAACAAATAAAGAAGACAATAGAGAAATAGATACACAGTGTTAGTTATATATGATTAGATTAATAACCTAAAGGGTGGCGCTCATTTTTACGTAGATCGTTCTAGATGTCTTCTCTCTAATCGAAAATAAGACGCACACACAATGTCGAAACAGAAGACTATGCACATATGCCTTAGTAGATGTAAATAACATTAATCTATTCTTTAAATTAGAAGTAAGGAACTGCCGCTTTACAAATGAAGTAAATTTCAATTAAATCGCGTACGCCAGGCTCCAGTTCTACGTTCAGACGAAATAAACACTTTATTGCTCTCACTATGCCAATAATTCTTTAGTGTGTAACAGCAGAGTCGCTCAGTTGGATTATTACAGTATTAAATAACTGCACGGTCAAACCTACGGGGCATGCGCCATGTGCAGGGCAACGCACGCTGAATTCGAGGAATCCGAGACAGATTTTAGAGAGTCCAACTATCTGAAGTGAACTAGACAATTGTCCGTGCAACAGGCCAACCTCCGAACAAGGAGCTAATTCAAATAAAGCAGCGTAATACTTTTGCCCTTCTAGGCTACTGTCCAGTTTTGGCGTCAAGGATGCACGGCCGAAATACGCTTTTAAAGGCTTTTTTCGAGAAAGACTGGAAACATAGGCTACTAGAGCTCTTTTACGTAAGTCGAATAAACAGGTGTTAATACACAAGGCCTTAAATGCATAATAAACAATTAAGTTACAACAGTATTTATAACTGTAAACCCCCTTATTATATGCTTATTACCAAACACAAATCAATATATTTTTATGCTTCGAGATATACTACAGTAAACCATTTATTTACATTCGTCTCGCTCATTCTCGGTATACGTTTGTTGCAAGGGTAATAACTGCGCGCACCGCTGTCCTGGCAAACAATATTATCAAAAAATGCCAACTGGAAACACCAAAATGGAAAGAAAGACAAATGGAAAATGACTGGAAAGTTACCTACGTTGTTACCGCGACCGGCTCTTACAGGTCCCTGATTTCCCGTTGTTCGTGCTGCTAAGAAGCAACAATCACAAGCGTGCGTATGCTGTCAGTGAGTTAGATGCACTATATTGTTGAAAGGTTACACCCTTTCCAGGGGTCAACCAATTTATCCTCATCGGCCGTAGAAGCAATGACGATGTCCCTTTAACTGTTTAATTTGATAATTTATGTGTATACGAGATAAATTTTTTTACGGTAGCACCTGTTACTGCGGCTAACTCCATTCGCCCGTTGTACTCTGTTTATCATCTATTTATCTGCAAGCTCTACCAAAAATCCTAATGATCGGAATACCTAGCCTAGGCTTCTTACATTGAAATTACCTACTTTTGCCTTTGACTCTATCCCCATCACATTCTGATAAAAAGTCTAATATTATAGGATATAATAAAAATTTAAATCTTTTTTGTCACTGAGACTTTAATACATACGCAGGTTCTTTCGACGACACTGTCAAATCGAGGCTCCTTTTAATAAGCTCTAGGACAGTGTTAAACCAGCCCGGCTTGATCTTGAGGGCGGACGAACTTTTGAATCGGCCCAATGGTCCTCGTTCGGTACGAGGTACTAGAGTAGCTGACATTCTTTCTTGAACTTCTTAGGGCTTCAGCAAATCCCGACTACTTGCCCGCGTCCTGTTGAGTAACTGTCACAGTAGCGTAATCGCAACAACTGCCACACTGTAGAAGCACGACATTTTTATTTTGAGCATAATTCATTTGAAATGCGACAATAACTGGACGAGTGCAAAAATGATTACGTTAGTTTTTTTGTTGATTTCTCTATTGGGGCACATGATAAGCATAGAAACAGGCGCGTCTCACTTATAGTTGTTACCCCATTTAATAAAGTCCGCAAGCAAAAAATTGGTAAGATATATTTGACGTCAATAGCACTGTCAGTAGTAGTCACAACTATACAATGCTGATCGTTTTCCTATCCTATTGGGCAACCTATAAAGCAGTCAATTGAATTCTTATAATAGCCTATATTTTAGAATTAATACGAAGGGGGCCAACATACGGAGATCTCGTTCGAAAGAAGGAAAACCCTTTCTAATATCTTAAATAACTGATTGTATTTTTTGTTTTCTTTTTTATTCTAAAACACGAAGATACGTATTTCTTCAGCCTTCAATTGAGTTCACTCGAGCACATGATTTATGCTGATGCCTCCGGGTTCTACGATCTAGGTATCAGCATGCACCAAAAACATGTTGCTATGCCAGTGACATTAAAAAATCGTTTTTTTTTCATAATAAAGATTTTTTTTATCTGAATTTGAGCCATTTCGTCATCTTGATTAGGTCAATTATAAACACATGTCTCCTCAGCTGTGCTTAACATCAACAGAAGAAAACATGACATTATTCAAACATTTTCTTCTACTGCAAAGGGGCATGTCCTAATTGTATTAATGCAACACATACTTACACAAAGCCCTCTCTTTAGATGGAAACAGTCTGAACGCTGCCCTGGTCGGTTATTATTCCCATCAATACCCTATCTTTGTTAACCACCGTCGATCATCACAATCTTTAGCCTGTATCTCAAGATACGTAGTAAGACAGAGAAAACAAAAAAGAAGTATAGAATGCTGGACAATAACTATACTTTATTAAAGGAATAGATAAACACATATTCAGTTGATGAAATCTGACATTTAATTTGTGCAATATATAGAACAATCGGTGTTTTTTTTTCTACAGATGACTAGTAAAATACAATTATATTATTGATCAAACAAAGCAACGTATGCCCTATAAGAAATATGCGGCATCGTTAAACTTAGCTTCTTTCCAGTCCTTCTAAATAAATAAAGAAGCTATCCACATTTTTACACCGATGTAACATTAGCCCCCCAACGGCTACGATTTTTCCACGATTTCTCTTAGATCACTACTAGTGTCATTCGGCCTACTCCTTGCAAACCTAGATTTTTGAACGATTTTTTAGATATCGCTCTCTCGAGGCGGCACGTGTTGTCTCTGTGCTACAAGCATCTTCTCGTGAAATGAGCATATAAACGGGGCCGTCATATATGTGATGATCACAAATATTGACGACGTCTCCGAGATCGATACGCTTCACCTTTGCGTCTCCTTTATAGGCTGCACATATTTATCGAGAAATAAAAGCAGGGTAGTCCGTTATGACCCCCAATCAGCTTCATGTTCCGAAGTAATCGCATCTTATTATTGTAGGTAATATGGCTGTACTGTCACTTTTTTTTTGTACGTGAATGTCCACACCTGTTCGATTGGCTGAATAGCAGTTGTGCACTTACTGTGGTCATAACTCGTTGTTCTGTCGAAAACGTATGTTCTCTGCAATTTTAACCCAATTAATATTTTGAGCCACAAATGCGTCGACCTTTATCGACATGTAGAAGAAAGCAGCGGTGCCAAATACATTTGTTCTATCGACAGGCTGACCGGTGGTACTGATGACCGAGACCTCGTGGAGTAGTTCTCGGAAGCGGTCGCGTCGTACAGAGACTTTATCCGCAATTGTAAAGCAATGTTGATTGTTCATTCTGAAACTGTTAGCTGGAGTTGATCTTGCAGGCTCGCGGATCCCACGGCAAGTTTCTTCGGACGAAAGGAACGTCACAGAAGAACAATTATCAGATGTATTCCTGCCGAAAATGGCCACGCCACTAAACCTCCGTGGGCATGCACGTCGCGGTTCTTCAGTGAAAAGTGTATTTTGTTCTAGAAGTAATTTTCATTTTATTTTGGTATTTTATCCCGATATTTTAACATCATATTCGCTCCGCTCCTTGAGTCGTTCAGTTAGTTTGGGCTTGTAAGTAGCTTCAGACAGAAGCCATGTAAAGACTTCAGTGTTCATAGCAATATCCACGGCAAACTTTGAGCGATCCCAGAAGTCATTATCTTGCAAGCAGTCTTCGATGTTAAACTAAATGGTTTTTTCCATCTTGTACATGATATCGCTGAAGCTTACATCAAGGCACAGGTGGTTTTCGAACAATCGAACTGGGGTAGACGTCAAACGATACGGCAATACTTTATAAGTGCTGCATGAAAAACTTAAACTCTTACTAACAAATGTGGGGAAGTTACTCGGAACCGTCCATTACTTCCGAGGCGTACGAGCACTACGAAACTTCGTCTTCTGTAGCCACCATATGAGCAATCTCGAAGTGGAACTACAAGCTACTGCTGTTGATTAATCGTCCCGTCAGATGTGACGATTCATCATTTCGAAAGCGAGAAATTACAGTTAACTTCGGGTTCAATGTGTCGTTTCTACAAAATACTGTTACAATCTTTACGAGGAGCAGCTCCGCCCTCAGAGTAGACTCAACTACAAAACGAAGCAATTGAACTCGCCAAAGCAAACTCCAACCCGGCCCAGTTTATGTCCTTGTAGGCATTCATGAACTACCCGCTCTCTAGCTGCTAATTGTCTTTATCTGAAACTCTGCTAGTTCTTCAAACGAATCCCTACTGAATTAATCAAGTTCCTTTGGCGACGTACAGTTGGGCTGAAACAAGAAAGAATTTGGCAATCTCTGCAACTTAAATACGCCCAATTATATTTAGAAAACATACATGATTAGGACGCTTTTTCGGACATGACAGGGCATAGAGAGAAGAGATCTTTTATATATTTATATATATATACTTGTTATTTTGGGATCTAGCACAGGAATTACCATCCAAAACTGTCGGCTGATTAAGGGTGGTATACTAGTAAGTAAACTTATGTGCTATATCTATCACATTCGTAAATATATATCGACTGGCGGATAATTTTCTAATTCATCCATAGTAATAATATCCTGTTTAGAGCACGCTGATTGTTGTAATAATACGATACAGCTAAGTTGTTTAAAAACTGGTATAAATAACAATAACATTTGTTTAAATGTATATATATATATATATATATATATATATATATATATATATAAATTATCCATGAATCGTATTACAGCGTACGCTGGTATCCCTGGTATAAAAAGAATTTCAAAACAAAAGCGCTTAGTTTGAAAAATTGTTTCTAACGGGAGTAACTCGAGTTTTGTAATACAGAAGATATAAAACAGTACCTCGTAATTTTTAATTCTTTTATTAATTTCGCTGGGAATTGTCCATCCATCAATTTCTTTATCTATCAAAGTCCAGGTTACACTTCCATATAATCGCTGAACGAGGTTACAAACGAAATTATGGTGCTCTATAGAATAATGCAAAACGCGTGTCCTACACTTACAGCATGACTTGCCGAAAACTGTGCATCGTTGGTCATTTCGCACGAAAATATGAAGCTCCCAGAGGTCCCTCAGGCAAGATATGTGGACGAAGGAAAGATACAGTTGTTCGATTTCTCAAGTAGGGCTCCTAGTTGAAATAAACGGGCCCAGTAGCGGTGAAAGCCCCGACACGATTCCAGACTGTCGCCGTAGCAACAATGAATTCACTCACCTGGCTGCTGGGTGTGATCACTTGATATGTAAACAAACCCTTTTAGCGAAGGGCGGCCGTCGTTTGCCGCTTCTATAGGTATATATATATATATCTAAGAAATTTCACGTCGTCGACGACCTTCTGCCAGACGGGGATCGTGATGTCGCAAGTCAAGAAGTTTAAAATACGTAGGAAAAAAAAATAGTATGAAATAGATAAAACAAAAAAAAAAAAGAAGCGACAACAAACCGCATAGAGACCTGCAGGCGCAAAGCTCACGCTAAACAACCTGTAGGTATTTTTCTTTGAGGAATGTCAGTTCTATGGTACGTTGGAACCAGTCGATTACTACATCAATGGACTTCATTACAGCCAAGGACATTTCGCGGGCGCCAAGTAATCCACTGTCAAAAAGAATTTCGATGTGATGAACCGATTGTACAGATAAAGTATCGATAAACGTCTCATAAAACAAAATCAATAGAATTCCATCATGGAAGTAGATACAGGTCACCGTAGCTAGCGACACGAAGTCTTTTCTAGGGCTGCAGTCAGTAATTCAAATTTCGTCGTGTGATAATGCGTGTATAGTGCCAGCTGGAACGAATCTCTCAGAGTTAAAAGCAAGCACCGCTGAAGTAGAGGAGAACGCCCTCGACATGAATGGCAAAATATAATGATCTTAATGGGGTCTGGCTCAAAAGCGTAAGCATTTGTGACACCAATTCCAGTAGCAGCTGTCACGGCATTGCTATTCATTTCAAAGACCGCTTGATGATACTTGAGATACTTTGCATTAGCTAGGGATCTTCCTAGAGATGTACTTGAAATCTGTTCAGCGTCGCTGAAGATTCCTTCCACACCGAGTGCCTGCACCTCTGTGACGATGCTTTTTTTGTTCGACATTGATTACGACGTTTGGCACGGTGAGCGCCACATCCGGTCTGTGAGTGACATTTAACCTAAAAATGGCCTGAGCTATCCTGTCGGCAGTCGTCTTTGCCATGATTCCATCGACGTGCTCTTTTTCTCTTAACGGGATAGCAATTATTATAGAGCTTTATCCTTTTCTATACGGATTATTCACTACTTTGAGCTGTCCTGTCTCGCAGACGTTCGACTGTGTGTCGCTATCTTCGTCATGAAGTGCTGCTTTCCTTAGTCCTGTCGCAGAGCCAGAAGTTTCTCTTGAAACATATCGGTTCAAATTTGTCCTTTGCGCTCCTTCTGCAGGTGGGACATGTCCACTGAAGACCTTTAACACTCAGCAGAAGTAGAGCAGCCCGCTGTGACCCGCAATTAGCTTCATGTTTTTTGTTCAAGGTGTGCCAGTCGCCGCCGCCGCCGCCGCTGAAAATGCCCAATCGACTGAGCAGCGAGGCAGTTTCCGTGCTCTATAGCTTCACTGATATTTGGTGATAACTAGTTATCACAGAAAAAATACGTACTATGACGGGTTATCGATTGTCTTCGCATGTATGAGCTTCGTTCACTGATTGAATGAGCAGCGCGGCTTGGAACTCCATTGGCACCCACAGACGACGACGACGAGCCAGAACTAGGGTACTGCTAGCGAGGAAAATCGCACCTAGCTGATACTGCTAAAATACACTTAACGGTAAAATACACAGTCTCGAATGACTACAGAACGTAAAAAGTATCTGGCTTCCTTAGGCAGTTACTTGCCAGGTAGATGATCGAATCGTTGTCGCTTGGTTGTTTAATATCGCTCTTGTTGCTTCGAGGGCCATCGTTGTAGCTCAGAGTAACGACGAAGAGTCATATGCGGTTGCCTATGAGCGCTGCTAGCTATGGCGGTGAAAATTTGCTTTAACAATTAAACTAACTAGACATAGAGAATGTGATCGGCAAGAAAATCCATATTTCATTCAGATTAGAATATAAACGTTTCGCCGATACCAACGCCGATACGAAAAAAAAAAAGAAAGCCGATAAGAGAAAAAATCAAATATCCTTATATATATTTTTTAAAGAAGAAATTGAGTTGATACGAAATGTTGCATTGTAATATATGTATAGTGTAACGTTCTGCGCTAGGCTATCTTTAATTTTTTCATCCATATTATAACATTCGCCAACACGTTAAGCCCAGATCACCAGCATGAACAGTCAATGTTCGGCTACGTACGCGAGCGATGTCGTCACACAGGGAAATTACGCAGAGCGACTACTGGATATGAATCTATTGCGCCCGCCTTCCTTTCAATCTACGAACGAGAGCGGTTTTGGATAAATCTCGGATAGAAAAACAGAAGCAAGAAGCAATTACCCGAATGCGCCATTGTCGGGTAGTCGACGTCTAAGGATGGGTAGAGTGTTCGCATTGCAAAATCACGGTCGAGACTTACTTAGATACTTCCAAGCTGCAGAATCGCCGCCGTTTGCATCTAGCTACCAGTGCTCGCCGAACAAGCGCGGCATAAGCAGGCAATACGAGCGTTGAAATCGTAAACGTATATTTGTTTTTCATATTTATTGGTCCTACCCGATCTGTCCTGGCAGCCTCTGCTTTTTAAAAATCGCTAGTGGACAAAAATGATGGCCACTATAGGTATCTGCTTTTGTGTTCACCAACTAACGATCGATCTCGGTGACTCGCCATGGTTATGGTTGCTGCTATTCGTTATTCAAACGTAATTTTTCTATTAATAGTAGACTCAACTACGGATAGATTAATGCAAAGTGTGTTCCTTGCAACTGCTATTGTATTATATAAATTTTCATATATTGTATATATATATATATATTTTGACAATATAGTTTAATCTGTCTTCTTTCTTTTCCTTCGTCGGCCCTCGGGGCGTGTCCGATTGTGCGGCTGCAAATAATTCCGCATTTTGTTAAATAATCGCAGAGGACTGGTCTGTATGCAAAATAGACATGAATAAATGTTTCCTACAATTGTAATCGGCCTATGTTCGTTCTACTCGTCCTTCGGTTACTCAACCGTGTCACGATATACAAGATAGAATAGCGTACTGGCCAAAGAAATGGTAACATATAAAAGTATTCAATTTTGACTTTCTTTTTTTTCAACTCTGAAAATGGATCTGAGCTTCGTTCGGTTTCGTGCGAGCTTTATAGGGACTATCGAATCGACACCGGCTCTATAACTTGCAAAACAATACTAGCGTTGAAAACTTCACAACACGTTATGTACGTGTAGCTGCGTGACGACGGCGTTGTTCAATCATTTTAGTTGCTAATCTATCAAGAAAATAGCCTACGTACGGTTACATGGATTGTGATGGCGGTTGATAGGGGCTGGTGCGTGACAGAATTCGAGGCGTCACAACGAAACACAGCTCCGTCATCGCGGTCTACAAGCACCACGCTATGGGTAGCTGTCGCCTCATGCGTTCCTTGTCGGTAACGCGAACGTACAGAAACGTCGTTTCGGAACCAGTCTAGTCGGGCCGGTGGGTTGCCCCCGCGAGAAAGACAAGCCAGCGTTAAAGTGTCACCAGACTGAAGTTGCGTCTCAGGTTGTCCATGGATCTCAGGCTCGCCAGGAGGATCTGAATGAATGTCACAAATCGACAGAAAAAGAAAAAACAGCCAGACGTCAACAAGAGCTTTAGCCGCGTCGTTTGGCGACATCTCTGTCTTACTTAAGACCAAGCGTTTTGCCACAGTTCACCGCCTCGTTCGCGCTCAGGTAGTCAGAGTTAGAAACAAAATTGAGCAAGCAATGCTTTCATGGGACGCCAACATTGAAAAATTAACTTGTTCTTAAAAGCCATAATAGACTTTTCATGATAGCACGCAGCCACTACATACTGTTATGAAAATTAATGTACACTTATTTTCTATTTTTAAGTATAATAATATTTCGATTACGCCAAATATATTGATCTAGACTGATCTGCTGTCTCTCCGACTAAAGTTAGATATTTTCGCGCTGTTAATTAAAAGCTGTTTGTTCTGGGAGTAATGTGTGGAATCGGTGTAGGAAAAAACTCTCGAAAAGTCATAGCATCATTTCTAATTATATAGGTTTTCCAGCATAAAACGTGCCGCTTACTCTTTCCATAGTCTATTAAACTGCAGCGTAACAGCCCGCTGGCCATTAGCACACTAGATCAAAACGACTACTAAAAAGTGCATTATAGCTCACGATTTTTTCAGTTCCTATCCAACTAATACCGCGATAAAAAAGATAAGATGCTTAAAAATGTCCAGCGTATACACATCCGTTTGTACGCTTTTCACCGGCATTTTTAAAAGTGGGACGTTCGTTTTGTCACCGATTGGCTAGTTATCAGTGGTCGAATGAGAGTACCAGTTGTGCCGGCAAATGATACAACAAGGGCTTCAATAATGAAAGCTTATTGCTAAATAGTGCGAATCTACCTGACATAATAGATAATGCAAGTATTTACAACATCCACGAAAATTGTTCTCGATGTGCAATAATTCAGGTAGTGGCTCAATGAAGAAATGCTCGTAATCTGGAGATACTTACACAAGACACTCATGACGAGTGAGGCTCTGAGTGGTGCTTTTAGAGCAGGATGCTGAGCCTCACAGGTGTAAGCGGCACGCGAGTCGTCATGCCGGGGATAAATTTCGACCTTTGTAAAGATCGAACTCAGCTCCCGATCACCGTTGGTGTCGACGCGTCGGTGAACCTTTTCTGAAACGATCAAAAATATCCCAGAGATGATGACAATTTTTCATTTCATCGATTTCTCGCTGGTAAGAACTCAGCGATTGATTTACTCAGTAATTTTTGGTCAACATCACAGATTACGATGAGTCATTGTATTTATCTCATTAGCTATTGGAAATCGTACCAGAAACAGATTTTATGTCCGTCTCATTATGTCTGTCTCTAAATGTACACTCTGTACACGCGAAATTTTATATATGCTAATAAAAAAGGACAACCTATAGAAACTTCCCAGAGGTGATTAGGAGTTTGCCAGTGGTCTCGTTTCCAACTACCACGCAATCAGCGAGAAGCGCCGCCCGTCTTACGGTGACATGAAACACTTAATACGTCTATACCGAATATTTACTAACAGAACATTAATATAGGGATATATTGCTCAGAACTGAACTTGTTTTAAACTCGCCAGATTATCATGCGGACGGTGTTACAATTAATTCTTGAGACGAACTTGCTTCGCTGTGATAATAATAGATAGGGTCGTCAAAGTCTACAGATCCTCACATGTGTTTGGACTTCGACCCAGTCTGCGGAACAGGTACAATATGCTCAGGTTTTTCTCAATTCTCTATTGACCCTAACACGTCCAACGAATCTATATAGGCCTTTTAATTTAGCTTTATTTAGGTTCTGTAACGCACGCGCGCGCGCGCGCTCTAAAGGCTTGGCCTACATCGAAAGTTACACGAAAAAATGTATGAAGGAAAACGATACATTTTAAAATATCTTCATTACGCACACGTGATGTCTCCGCTGTATCTTCTATTTGCAGAATCTATTATTTCATTGAAATCTAAAATTTACCAATATAATTCAATCCAGAACGGGATCATCTTAATGAAACAACAAATTATTATTACCACTAGTAATCAGGTTACCTCAAAACATACGTTAGCATCGGTTATTGTGTGAGTAAGTTAAAAATTAACTTATAGTTAGCCTTTGGGAGTAAGTACATTTTTTTTTTGCTTAAGGGTCGTGTGTGCTTAAGAGTGCACAATAATCGGCTGTGAAAGTTTTTCGTCGCAGTACAATCACAATAATACGCGATACGTCAAGTGCAAATCATTCAATCAAAACAAGAGAACGGAAGTTTAATCGGGTTACGGTGTTACGTGTCGTATGTCGTTGACGCGGATTAAAAACGTCCACGTAGGCGCGAGTGAGGGGCCTCTAAGCAGTTCCAGTTGTTGCTAATATCTGTTGTCTTCCAAATATGTAGATGAAAACAATCGATTCGATTAATGTTAGCTGGGTTGGGATCCAAGGTCGTGCCTATTATCCAGCTCTGCTAAACTGCAGAAGCCTATTTCAAAAGCACGATCTTTTGACCAACGAGGCATGAGTGTTTCGTTTACATTGGTAGTTACGATGTGTACTGTTTTTGGCACTTACTAGAGCGTCGACTTGATTAAGCATCGTCCAGTAGATCGAGATAATTTTTGCAATTGTATAAAAGCTCATTGGGAAATATCACGCATGTACTATCAGTCGCCTTGGCACAAAACACACTACGAATAAGAACAGCCGAGTGGAACCTCTAGATTTCATCGTCGTCGAATCTACCCTGAGCTAGAATACGGAATGGGCCACTTTAAACGGACTACCTGGTTAGGCGGGTGATGACACAAGAGAGCTCCACGGTGGTCACTGACATCTGTCAACCCTCAAGCTAAGGGATTACCTTTTGCGTTATGTATCACAGGGAGGCTAACCATTCTTCGGTAAGCCGTAATGCAATGCGTACTGACCCTTTTTGGAGCAACTCATTAAGGATAGTTCAAAGTCTTTCAGTTGTACATCTGCATTTGTTCACGGTGCCGCTAATAGATTAGAAGAATCGGCACGTTTTATAGGTCCGAAAATGATGTATTTGGCATTAGTTGTCAACTAAAGAATCATTTGTTATTTCACTAAATTTCAAAGACAACACTTAAGCTTGCGCATTTTATAAATAAACTTTGAACCTCCTTCAGAGTATTAATTACTATTTTAATGATCGTATTGTATTGCACATTTACAATGCATATCATATAAGGGCAGCCATATTTAATGGGCATTTGTATGTGCTATGATTACCTATGGAGTTGTTTGTTCACTGGTAAACGTTAGACTAAACTTAAAAAAACTTAAAAAAATTATGAATAATTTTTTCCTTTGGCTAACAGGTAAGGTTTCGACACTCAGTTTTGGGTGCGGAAACATTTTTCTTGTTTAAACGAAATAGTTTATGCCAGTGTCTTAAAGACACAGACGTATCCATTCCTCATTGCTGCAATTTTCAGCTAGATATTTTTTTCAATGTATATATATATATATGACCAATGCACGTCTCTTCGGGACGTCACTTACTGTATTGAGCCTTACCAAAATGTTCCCATATCCTACTTGTGAACATGATAAAAAAAAAAAGAGCAGCAGATGCAATAGGTCTAATAGCTGTTACTGGGCCGCGCGAAACGTCAGAAAAATGAAAGATTTTTAAAACCAGTAATGAGAAGTAGCGATATTTTGGCCATACCAATGGCGATTCGGACAGAAGACTCTGAGTGCTTCAGGTAGAACAGTGAAAATGAAACTAATAATGCACCAGCAAAAATGCTGGCTTTTAGGCCATTGCAATGATGCAAGGCTCTTTTAATAGGCCAATGATCTACCCGTTTTTTCAATTCATATCGAACAGATAATGACGATTTTAAGGCAACCGTCTCAAATATCGAAATTGTTGGCGTGTGTAGCCGAAAATTTTGTCCATGAGGATAGGTTTGCGCTTAGAGGGACAGTACGATCCAGCCTGCCCTTGTGATCGTTGCCTTCCACTTTTACTATTAACATTGACGCAAGCAAAAACAACTTTGGACAGCGTTATAACAGTATGGCTCATACTTCCCTTTGTGGAATATGCAGCTTAACAGAGTCAAGTTCATTTGAAGGTGTGGCCCCCTTGAGGGTACTCCTTACAACGATAAACCATTTATATATATAGAACAACACAACATGCTTTTACGCTGCTATTAACAGATATGTGTTACGAGAAAAAAAAAAAGTAGCTATTCAACTGGAATGGTTGTAGCAGGCAGCAGTTTCAAGCTCAAATAGGGAAACACTATTCGATGGTTGAATTTCATACGCTGACGCTGTAGCTCGCTGTTCAAATCATCTGTGACGTGAATATGTGAGCACTCATATTGTGACATAGATCAACATTGTGACACAGAGGTGGATCAGCATATATCGATATAGTTCACGCATACGATGGGTTAGGCTTCGAACAAACCTAGTATGGTCTAACGATACCTTTGTACAGGAAACATACGCTGTAGGGCGCGGAAAAAGGTTGAAATATGTACTCAATTTGCTGTGTGTCAAACGCAGAACGGCTACGATGTGTCCAGCTAAAGCGCACATTGTTCCTAGCCATCTTCAGACGAAGTAGGATAAATAAGAAGAGCTTAAATATTCAGGCCCAAGGAGTGCGCAGATTGACAGACGATTATAGGAAAGATGGAGACTATCGCTAAGAAAGCTTAAAAGTTTTCCTGGAAGCAGCGCCCTGAACGCTTATCATAGACATATTCTGTACGCTTCCGAAAAAAAGAAGTAAACCGATAGTAAATAGTTTGTGCATTTCGAGGCAATGGTGCCAGCGGAAGAACTTCACAGGAAGTCATTGTAAACATCGAAAAAATGTTTCGACCGGTCTTTGGGACACTACACCCCCTGTCCTTTGAACAATTTTCTTCGAGAAACAAAAAATACCCCACCAGTACGCAGATAGCGCCATCAACATTTAGCACAATTTGGAGCGTGTCGTGGAATATATCGAGAAGAATACGTTAACTCGAGCGGATGCTCGGAGAGGCACACTCTAGGCCTTATTGTATGTATATGTCGACATTAGAAGAAATTCTGTTGAATGAGCTACCAATCAAACGAGCGAAACGAAGCGATACGAGATCCATTAAGCAGTTACTGGGAAGACGAGTAAACGAGCTTCTGAATGAATAAACCCTTCAAAAAAAACGTTTCAGCTGGTGATAAACAGGCCTGTACTAGATTCGAAATGCTAAAGGAAAATCTCTCAGTTGAACAGTTGAAGCCATTGGTGTTTAGTGGATATTGGTCACCCAATTGAATATTCAGTTGAGAAAAAACATACATTTTATCTTTGTACAATTTTCACCTATCATTACCCTTTTACTTTTGCTACGTACCTGCCTATCATTCAAAGCACGCGAATACTGAATTATTATCGCTACTACTACACACACATGTATATTACATCTAGACTGTATATGCACGAACGAAAAATGAACACAGCAGGCATGTGATCGTTCATAGATCAATTTTTGCCCTTATTTTCTTATTCAACAATAATTTCGAGTAGTCGGAATATATTCGGTATTCAATTTAAATTTATGGAATATATCTGTAGAACTTAATCGTGCCGGGCCCAGAATTCTGTTCCATTTCTTCTCGCTCACACGCCTCCTGGTAGTCATAACGTTTGTGATGAGCCGATGACACTTATCGCAGTGACACGACAAATGTCGTTAGCTATTATTATTTTTCAAACAGAACCCTTGTCAATAAAATCCGGTACTATAAATATCTTAGAGCTTACAATCAACCAATAAAAAAAGCTACTTTTTAAATGCTTCTTCTTCTCCCTAACACATGAGAGAAAACTTTCCCCAATGGGTGTGATGAATACAAGGTAACATTGCAAGATGCATCGTCGAACATTTTACATGTTTATTTCATGTTCAGCCATGCCTCACCTGCTGACCATCTTAAGAACAAAACGTATCAACCAGCGTAACCCTTAGCTGCGCTTCCTTTTTTATTGGTAAAATAATATCAGCTCCGTTTTGCTCAGTAAGGTGAGCCAAATTTTTACAGAGACTACAGAGGTTTTAGCAGGTTCGCATTTAAGAACATTAAACCTAGCAGAGATTATTTGGCCCGTTGAATTTAGCCGTAATTTATTCATTTGTACTTACAGTTCCTATTTTTAGTTTATTTGTGATTTTTTACCAAAAACCAGAGGTCTTATGGTAGCATCTGGTTGTGATAACACCCTTTATTCCTAGCTTTTATTGAGAAGTACATTTCCTTTGAAATACTATTCTCCGACATTTTCCGCCTTATATTCTCTCTCAATAGGCTTTCTCATGGCTATGTATGGGCTATGCTTGAGTGTATAAGATCATTTATAATGAGTGCCAATGCAACGATCGGTATATTTCTTGACGTCGTTAGGATTTGGCCTGCCTTGTCCATAAAATGCTTTTCAACATTTTCTTTCATTTGGAAGGTACCGAGAAATGTTGCTGCTGCTGCTGCTGCTGCTAATATAGCTATTTATCAGATTTTTTGTAAATTAACTGCTCTTAGCCCCGCAATATGTTACAGAGAGTGTCGGCCGGAGAATCGTTTTGTGTCCGGTCTTTTTTCGCTCTCTATTTTAGCTTTACTGGTTGAATTCTATAGCTCACTTGAGTTGTCTCTCGGTGACAGTATTCTTGATGCCTTCTCATCCTATCTTTCCAACTCGTAGAGACTGACGCCAAAATTCTGCTCGGTTTCATGCCTCAGTTAAAACTAGCTTGGGATCTTTTCTGATCTTTCTGATACAGATTCTGACAATTGCCACTTCACTACCTAGCTTAAGGTATTTTGTTGATGGTGCAAATCATCGTTTGTTACTACATTACGCTTCAGGGATAATATAAAACATAATTGTTTCATCATGCTTTGCATGCAATATCCGATATCCAGGCCTCTGCTTTTAAGTATATTTGATGTCTTCATTAACTTAAAGTATATCAAACATTTTAACCATTTGCCTAATGTTTTAGGCCAAAAAAGAATAGCATATTACAGATCCCGAGTTGCAAAGATGATGTTCTCTTTGTGATTTTTCCGTTATTTGGAGCTATTTGTTTAAATCTATTATAAGTAGAAATTTATTAGATTAATTTAATCTTTTTTTGTTCTTCACAGTCGTGTGTTTAACCAACATTTAGACATTATCGTCACGTTATTTTGTTTCACTGCAATGTAGTGCAGCTGGTTTAGATTTATGGAGTCAGGCAAACGCCAGTACCGAACATAAAATTCAAACCATTTGCTTTAGGTTAATATCAAAATCCGGATTTTGTAATTACATGTTAATAAATATGTCAGATGAAAATAGATTGCGTATGATTTTCAACTGCTCAGGCGGCAGAGATAACTAGCTAATTTAAGGTAAACAATAGAGACTCGAATGTGCCTCCCGCGATTGCTTCTTTTGAAATAATCTTACCTTCACATTCTCGGTGGCATTTCCTATGCTAGAATTGTCTGTTATTTAAAAAACGACGACAAATTATCTTATCAAAGCACAGGGATGTATGTTAGCTATTTTTTCTACACATCAATTACTAAATCAATGGCGAAGAACCGCATTTTGTTGTTCTGTTCCTTAATCACGCAAGAAAACTCACGGTCATGTTTACTTAGTAACCTCATCCGTGTTTACATATATATATATATATATATATATATATATATACAAGTCCGCTTTCAACAGACAGGCTGTTGTTCAGAAAAATAGAACGTTTTTTAGAACAAGTAGAATGAAATGATGCATTTACTCCCAATCGCCGTTATGGCAACGAGGTTCGTATCGTGGACGCTGTTCACATAAAAAATTCCTTTAGATCTAAATCGTACCGCTCAGATTCCTGCAGGCAACGTGCTAACACCATCCTTTTACAGAAAACTTATCCTATAATGAAATGCTAACAGGCAAAGATCTGAGCATAATGTGCTCTTCAGTTAGTTTCTCTCTACCTGCTAAAAGGCTGTAAGCCACCCCGTCGAATTTCATGGCATATTGTCGTATGCAGCATTCTGCTAGGTTTTCTATGTCCTTGATGAAAATATATATATATATATATATATATATATATATATATATATATATATATATATATATATCCATAATTGCTGAAAGAAATCTGTTCTGGCGAAACAAAGGATTCGAACCAGTTTCAGGGTAAAGGTACGCAAAGTTTTCACCGGAAACTGACTCGTTATTGCGTTAATAGGAAAAAACAATCTTTCACCTTTATCAAAGAGTTGATTATTCCGGTACCATCGAATATTGGCTGGTGGCTTCGTGTCCCGAACCCAGCAGCTAAGTGTGGTTTGTTCTCCCTCGCGCGCTTCGACAACTTTGCTATCGTTTCCTCCACGATGACGGAGCTCAATCTGCTTCGGTGGAACTGACAAACATTAACAGAAAGTTTATCAACTTCACGGATATATATTAGTAAACAAAAATAAATAAATCGCTAAACAGACATTGTAGACGAGAAAAATATATCATCATTTTGTGGTGATACGTTTATATTACTTCCCCAAACCTCACGCATTGTTTCTACATTATTCATGGTCTTCTTCATAAAATTCTTCATTCAGACGCTGTAATGGCTAGCATATTTTTATATTGAATACATGAACACAGCTTAGTTGTGACAAATAATCTGGGTCGGGGTTACAACCGTAAGGTAAAAAGTATAAGAATTCAATAATTCAAATTAAACGATCTCCATATAAAGCAGACACTACGGTGATTTTTTATAAAGCCATGAAACTTTAGTTCTCTGTTGCAGCCTTTTTGAAAACACCATGGGCCAAAGAACAAAAATGTGACCTCTATTTAAAGATGTAAATTTACATGCTTCAATGAAAATAAAAGTGTACACGAAGAGCTATGGCAATATACTACGTGAACTTGAACCTGTAGGTTGGTTCCTTCATGTATAGTATGTACGCCAGCCTCGTAGAAGAAGCTATGAAAAGCTTCTTCTATGCTAATATGTATCACATTTATGCATTGCATAGATACAACATCAGGCCACTAACATTACTTTATCTTGCTTGTTATATCCGAAAAGCGGAACGTCGTCCAGTGATTAACTTGACTCCATAGCTAAGTTTGCAGCGCGGCTCTAATTTTAAAGGTACCTTAAATAGACTCAATATAAATATCAATTATAATAGAAACTTCATATTTAAAGTCGCGGGGTTAAGCAGTAACGAGAACGTTAAAGGAAGAGACCTACAAGATGTGCATACTTACCAAGAACAGTTACATAGGCAGCTGCCCAAATCGCTTGATGATCTGGTACTGGCCCGACCTAGATGGGAAAGAACAAGATTTCGACAGATTCACATTAGTTGATGCCCGGTGTGCGTGCTACGCAACGCAGACGCTTTAAAACATCGGCGACGTTTCGTTGCCAGTGGCTTTGGAAATCACAACGAACACCGCATCCGGCGCTCGAAAACCTTCAAACCGCTAGACTAATTAGCTTTATTAAATGAACCTGCCTTGTCCTCCAGCTAGGTCGTTTCAAGTAACTATTACTCAATCGACTAAAAGCATCCCGTCGTCAAAACGTACACTTCTTCGCGATACACAGTTTCAAATCTGGTCCGCTAGGATGGTAGCTTTGCCGAGTATACTGACTTCGTTAAACGGCACGTGCTTCTAATGAATACGATAGAATTGCCTATTTTCTCCGAAAACACAAACTGTCATTTGTTTTCTTGTTATATTGCGTAGCAGCAAGGTGAAGTCATATTTGTTACTAATATTCTGCCTGAGACTGAGTTTCTACTGTATTTTCGAAAAAGTGCGGGGCTCGAATTATGGATGTCCCATGAATTGCTAAAACGCAGATCTGTGACTTGAGGAAAACCATTCACGCGACGTTCATGCATTACACGTATCCCTTGTACTTCTGGACAGAACCTCTGAAACCTTCATCGTACATTATACGCCCTCAATCCTAGGACCTCCAGCCAACATTGTTTTTATATCAAAAAACTCCTCGTTTGTATGTACCATTTACATCCGAACATATGTTGAGTAAAATAAAAAATTATTTAATTACATGCTATCAAAGAGATGTTCCAAAATAGAGTTTCGATTTTAACCTTAGTAGCCCCGTGGTGAATCTAAACTTATGTCCATCGTTAAAATGAATCCTCTAATTAACTTTAATTGACAACCTCACTCACCTGTCTAGTCTAAGTACACTATACAAATTTTACTTAGAAACACAGTAGATAGAAGTCGCACGTATTGCGGGTATAATTCATTCGGCTGACGACCTCTGATCTCACCAAGTTACCGCAGTCTAAAGAGCTTCGACGTAACGAGAGACATCAACATGCACTTCAATGAAAAAGAAAATTTGACCCGTGCTGCCGCGTATAACGAACATCGTAAAACATGAAACAGTCTATTGAACTACGCGGCTAATTAACAGTCAGTGTATCGCAGGCGTAACCAGTGCGAGGCTCTCGGTCCTGATCTGACGTAGCAAGTTAAATCATAGGACAGCAAAGCTTAGTTCTTTTTTAAGACCCAATCCTCCTATTTTGAAGACTCAAAAATTACATTAGGGTCGAACACCTGAGCACATCTGAGCACATTTCAAGAGAAACAACATTGTATCTTCAGGTGACCTCGATCGATTGCATACTTGTGCAATGCTAGACTGATTTTTGTATTCACCAAATAGATTGATGCATGGCTGTCTATGTGCAGTATTCATATGCTTGGTACTCTTTCAGATTAAAGCACATATTATTCTAAACTACTTGGAGTACGCAAACGAAGTTAATCTCTATTATGTCCTAATAAGGGAAATACAAACGTTGTTGCACAACATTCAGTTAATAGTACCTAATTTTAAGATAAAAAGTAGCGTAATTTGTCTTCCTTAGCATGTGGCGGTGTTTATGAGGAATAATTGCTATGCCTTCCCTTGCGGAAAACCGATTTCCTAAATTGCATGTTTAAGCAAAATTGTTTACAGGACACAGAAAAGAGCAAAACATGTACCTGACATTGGTACTCCGCTTCGTCGTCGAGAGTAACTTGATTTAATCGAAGGTTGTAGATTCCTCGGGGTTCGTCAATAACCATTTGATAACGAGGAAAGCCTGGTATTACTGATTCATAACCTGGAAAATATCGACTACGTAACAGCTGCAGTTATGGACAAGTACCACTATGTAGACCATATGTCCCCTTCTAACCGACATAAAGCTGCATTGTTTTTTCGACAAATATTATTTATTAATTAATTAGTTTAAAAACAAGCGCCGGCTGTGATTTCAGCGCATACTAACTATGCATACTTAACACTATATATAGGGTCTGCGCTGTCGTTGATTTTTTCGAGTTACTTTCTCAACATCAAACAATGCCACCCTTTAGGCATTGCCAACGGTGGATGCGTAAGTCGTCTCGCCGCGTTGCGAAACTGTTATTCGTCGAACGAGTTTTTCGCCAATTTGCCAGCGCCTAGTAAAGCAGTACAAACGTACAAACTTGAATAATAATGAAAGAGAGTAGATGTGTAAATTACTATTAGACTTCTGTGAAATTTTTGCACCGGCTGCATCTAAGACGAATCCAATACGAGTACTGTGTAGGTTACAAGCATCATCATAACTGAAATGAATTGGTTTTTTTGGTTGAGAACAATCGAATTTAGATTTTTAAAAATTATCGTTCTATGGAGAAACGAAACAAGCACACTGTAGCAATAGAGTCATGAACGGTAACAGCTATCCAACTACTGTTAGATACAACGGGGTAATGCCATATTGAGGTCAAATGTATTGGTTAAATTAGAACCTGGCAACAAGCAGGCACGGGTAAAAAAAACATACAAATGAGAACATTTTGTAGTAGTAGTAGTAGTCAGAGCAGTGGAATTTCGCCACTATTGGTACTACCAACGCGATAAGAGGGTGTCGTCCAAAGCATCGTGGCAAAACACAATCGGTTGGGCAGCTGCCTAGAGCAGGCAACTGCACAGAAGGCTCCGGGCGTTTCATGACTAAAAGTTAACGATTCAGCTTCCAGAACCAATGGCTTACTTTTGTATTGGCGATATTACTCGTCAATTGAATAGTTACTGTGACTAGAGCTGACGGCAATGTATTCCTTAGCAGAAAACCCAATAATACTAATATTATGATTGACGATTTTCTAATAACACCCCCTCGTAGGAAACGAATAGAGATCATGTCGGTCAGTACGGTGTCTCTGCAAGTTTCTATCTTGCTACCTGAGACAATAATGGCGTTATCCATATTCGGTTTACGATGATATTTGCGAGCATAAGAAAACGATGGGCATCGTGATGGAAATTTGTCCTATAACAAGTACCAATAGCTAGCTGTTTGGTGCTCAATAGTAACGATGACAAACGGTTGCTGATCATCGTTCTAAGTGAAGACGAGAATTTATTCCGCTACATAGTAACAATTCATCGTTTAGTATAAATAGAAGAGATTCGAAGACCTATTTATTTGTGAGTTATAGTATGCAGAGGTAGGCAATTAAATGGCCGTGTAATATTCGAGCTGGTCGCGCTTCAACGTCATTGCCGTAATGGGGTTTTCTGTGGTCGAACAAATAAAAGTACGCCTAGCCATATTTTACCCGACCACGGTATTCTGGAACGGGTGCTGTTGCTTGTTTATCTTCTACTTATTACGCTTCCATGTTGTTTTTTATGGCTAGCGTAATGGCTAGTAATATCGATGAGGTCAATTTACGTAAGCAGCTCTTTTCAATTAGCCATAGTCGAACTTGTATTAATAGCAACATGATGCAACGGGACTTGGAAGCGAGCGGTAAAAAACATTGATTTCGACACCTAAATTTTATACTTTGGAACATTTGTAATGATCAGCCTATAATTCGTTTGAAACGGTGGGGTAATTGTATTGTGTGAGAGACAAATCGACGGCTTCATTCACTGAATATGTTTCTGTTCTATCAGTCGATTTTTGTGATTGTCATATTCAAATAAAAGTATAACTAAACAATAGACTTTTTCCAAGCTAGTTCTTCGTACTTTACCTCTAACGTCAGTGAAGTAAATCAGGGGTAAGGGTACAACACTAGCGCCATCTCGAATTAATTATTCATCAAATTACTTTAGTTTTGCGGCGAATTTAAGAGTCTACGGTTCGCTTTTTGTGATTCCGAGCAAATCATATCTAGAAGCTATATAAGTAAAACTACTGTTTAACATGAACGTATCCGAGCGAATAACGCATTTAAACTTGCATACATTGTGAAAACGCGATCGTTCAGCTGTTATTTGAGAGTTGAAGATAGATAGGTAGCTCATTCTAATGTCCGGGTAGATTGTCATGGTGGGAATTCAATCAGTAAATCATACTAGAAGAGAATGTCTATCGAAGACTGTACCTTTTAAGGGTACTAAGGCCTTTACGAACTGCTGCAGGCGTGTTATATTTTAGCTCAGTCGTCCAGAAAAGATACTAATAGCTGTCAATAATTTTATACAACCAATTTGACAACTTATCAGCTAATAGTGATAATACCGCAACAGCAATTTGCCCTATTTACAACCTTTCTTTAAGGACTATAAGCCTGTAGCCCGTTTTCGATAGCTTGCAGATATAATTGTGTAAATGTCCCGATGGGTTTTATAGTTATGCCCTAGAATAGGTCCGGGCAAAGATCTCACCGAGCACAAAGCCGTCCTTACTCCATTGAACCTGCCCTCCGAGATTACCAATGTGGCACTGTAGTTCTGTTGTCTGACCCTCAATAAGCTGGACACTCTGCGGCCGAACCTTAAAATACTGCTGATCAGAATTCTGCTCACATCTTACAATGCTACCTGCAAAGAACAAACAAATAGAATAATCCTAGTTTAAAGAAGCGGGTCGAAGCCTCCTAATCAAGTTATGTCCGGCCCATGGCAGATTTCTCAGATATTAAGAGCCACAATAAAAAAAACATCGAACATTTTTGTATTCCGTCTATTAAATTTGCTGAACTTTGTTTCTATTACAATGTGTCTGCTATGAATACGTTCGTTAATAACACGAACTGTTCATAATACATTTTTCATCTGTTTGTCACCATTGGCAGGCCATCCAGACAAATGTACACCAGTGCATTATCAAACGTGTGTATCTCCACCATTTTCACTGTCATGGCTTCGCCTGCATCTCGTAGAATACTGTTTTTTTTTTTTTTTTTTAATTTCCAAACTACTTAAAGTAAAACGTCGCAGAAGAACAGTATGTTTTTCTTAAACGGCAGTTGGCATGCAATGCAACGATCGTTCAAACTGCAGCTTTTCTCCTAATGAACCGTGCAATAATTTACATAATAGTGTATAAATAACTTTCTCTGTTTAAACAAATGATCCACATAAGAAATGCGACTTCAGAAACGATGGTACTTCGTTTACTTAATCATACCTATCGCTCTGTGTGTATATATCGTGTGTGCGACAGAATCACTTTTTCCAGTAATTTTTTATAGTTTTTTTTACATGCGGTTATGGCGTAAGCTTTGTTGCATGCCTATTGCGTAATAAATAATAAAAATTGTACAGCCCTTTCAGTGTTTGGCTAAGTAATGTTGCATTGCATTGCATTATACATTCATACACACAACAAATACGGCTATGTTTAATTAGCTTGGATAAATGACCTGGGTTCATAGGCTTGCGCATCTCTACAGTTGGCTAAAACTATTGATCTATAAAGTCACGTTTGAATAAACCCAATACGACACGCTTTCAGGAAAATACTATGCAAGGCCTTGCGTCTTATTTGAACAAATACGAAAAAGGCTTTTGCTTGGGAGCCTCTCTAATTAAATGGAAATTAAGTGAATATAGATTTCGAATGGTGCTACGTAGTGATCTTACGTACGATCATTGAACTCCAGAGAACGGATAGTGCAAAAAAAGATCATTGTCACAATCGCCTTATAGAAGCTAAGGGAAGAGTTGTCATATTTTTGAAAACCTACTCCCAAACTGAATCTAGTGTGTCACATTTATTAACGTACACTTATTATAGCAATTAGTTTTCTACATATGCTTCACTTGATAGCGTATAATTTCCTTTTTCATAGCCGTGCGATGATCGTATAGTTTTCTCTAACTACGTTCATCAGTGGGGTATCTGACGATCTCGGTCAATTAATGACATGGTTGCGTTCTCTTCCCTACGAAACTATTAAAGACAAACCCGTATAACATGCCTCACTACCAATGCTGTGAATAACTCTGTATATGTCTTTCCAATATAACAAGACGTAATTTAACCAGTCTACGTGCAACGTAACATTTACTGAGTAGCAGATCTGCCAGCTAACTGAAACAGCGCGGACCAGTTGCTGTCGGCAATTACGGTGTTGAGAACAGTATGGAACGCTACTTTTCGTCCGTACTTGTTGCATGATTAGTTAGTCATACCGTACGATAGCTTCTGACTAAGGACTGGGGTCGGTGGGGCCTCTGCCCCAACTTCATTTTAATCTCGACGGATTGCGCCCATCGCAAAATGTAAAGTTTGTGCTGTTCAGCGGCCAGAAGTCCCTGCTATAGAGCTTAAATGACCAGAATGAAGCCAACTTTCGACAACATAGCACACTCACCATAAATCTAACTTCGACAGAGCGTCAAAAGAAATTATTAGTAAAATGACGAGAATTTTTTCCTCGGATAGATTGTCGAGGCAATATTGGACACCTCAATCTGCATCAGTGAGATTTTGAGGATTGCATTCGAAAGCGCAAGGCCCGTATAAACGCCCAGCTTACAATTAATTACGAGAGGTATGAATCAACATAGCACTTGAGTGTTTGGGACGTTCAAATGTTTGTGTTGAGATCAGAGAATCGGACTGCAAGAGTAGCCAATTTTGTTAAGCGCTTTGAATGAAACCTCACTCAAGAGCTATTAAGTACATAATCGTGATCACTGATCATACAAATAATGTTAGCACAGTTCCGCCCGAAAAGACTGCTAGCGAAAGGAAACATTTCTTCGTGTCGTGATTCATCATTACCAAACGCTAAAATCAATTTAACACATACGCATGAATTGAACTTACTCTGATAAACGTATATGACGATCAGTCGTAAGTACAGCTGTTGAATTTTTTGCGGAAACGGGTGGCTCGACGATAGCATTGCGAGAAAATTATCCTTGCTATGCCAATGATAATGACTTCACTTAGTCTTACTGTTCCTGAAATGTCAGCGCCAGCCGGATATTCCTAGTAGAATCTACAGTGAACAACAAGCAGTGATAATAGCTGAACGCTATTTTACCTTTCACCATTATTCGGAACATCGAATTCTCACAAATTTACGTACGTTCTGCTCAGCCCGTTTAATTTCGGATTTCCATCCATAGTTGCGAGCTCGGCGTATCTTCTCGTCTATAGTGGGTGACAAAGGAGAACAACTGAGTCAGCGTTACAAAATGTTGTCACGAAGAAAACAGTCGATTACGAAAGGGCTTTGAAGGCCTTTATTCAAAAGGTTCTTAACTTGCAAGTAGTTCCTAGTCGTCGACAGAGCTCACGTCAACTATTCCACCCTCTCTTTTTACACTACCGTCATCGTTTGGGCTTGTTAGACCCTTGTTTATAGGCGTCTAACACAGGATGATGCTAGAAATGCTTAACCGACCCTGTAGTCTAGATGTATGGCCGCGGCGGGCTTACGCACGGCCTTGCAACCGGTGGCGGCGACAACAACAACAACAACGATAACGCTGGTAGCGATAAGGGCTCAGGCGGTGGCAGTGATGGAGATGACGGCAACGACAGCGAGCAAGAGGAATGCATCTGCCGAAGCTATTGTAGCCGAACGTATGCTTGCACACCTCACCGGAAGCGTATGGCTGTCATTGTTAAATGGGAGTCTACGACGTCACTTAGAAAATCACCTTTCCGATCGGAACGAGCACTACGACAGCTACCAGCAATACCACCTACGCCGCAACCAAATACCATTGCAACAAAGAGCTGTTACGGTGGCCGCAGATGGCACTGGAACAGAGAGAGGAGGAACGGAGAATGTAAACAGAGCGTGTGCCTGACCTCACGCGCTCCAAGACAGTAAGTTGTCAGCAAACGCCGACGATGGCGCCACCTGTGCACGTTGCAACCAACAGAGCCTGCTTCCAGGACATTTCCCGGCAACAGGTGGCGGTAGCTTTAGAGAGGGCCTTCATTAAAAATGTAGATGGGCTGGTAGACGAGTATGTAAGAAGGTAGCTGAAAATTTTATGTACATTGAAAGAATTTATATGTGAGTTTCAGAAATTTAAAAGAAGCTTTTTAAGCTCTTAAAATTTTTATATTGTTCTTTAAATACGCGTCGTTTAAATTAGTTCTCAGTTTTTAGGAAATAGGGCATGCCCTATAACATGTGTGAACATGATAGACGATCCGATATGACATTGTTCTACGTATATTAACTGTTTGCTAGTCTGCGGAAAATCCCACAACGAGGGAGGCGATGTGTTCACAAAACTGAATACATTGTACATTGCAGGTTTTACTGGCTGTATTTGTTTTAATAATTTATGAAAGCACTGGTTTTTTATAACATCTTTGTTGTACATCTTCTGGAAATAGGCAAAGAGGACAAGTGCATTTTCCACCTGAAATGGAGACTTGACAGGAACTAAAGTGCCGCTAATCATTCGCTCCCTCCGCTCATACCTTGCTATTTTTCCCCCTCCGAAACCTCGTTACAGATCCCTCGTGCGAATCAGATTCGAGAAACGACCTGCAGCTGGCCCCTACAACAACAAGACTCATTTCGCTGACTCTATTTGAACGTAAGGACGCGTGAAAATGGGCCACGTTTGCCTGACAGCCCTGTTCATGGACGTCTATCTACAGTACATTCTTTTGTCCTTGGCTTTTAGTAGTTTTAGTGTCACTCTCGGACGACGTTAATATTACCACTATAACAGACAACGACAAGACCAATGGCGAATTTGAACGCCAAAGGCAGCAAGGCTGGTAATGCTGGCACCGAGAAAAAGCAGCCCCGCTGACCCAGTTAGACCTAGCGAAGCATCCCGTGCTCCTTTGATGCCAAAAAATATTTCGTGCGTGCATACAGCCCATAAGTGGGAAAAAGGACTCTTTCTAGCTTCAGAGGCTGCATGGAACATAAACTAGTTAGAGACAACTCAATCCATCTCTGTCACCGTAACTTGGCCCCTATAACTGGTGTGTCACCAGCTATTCCGCTGTCGTTTTCACTGCTAGTCTTGCGCAGCGCAGGGCGCTATTATAGATCTTGCCAGCGCACTTTGAGAGATACTATGTACGTTACTGGCCTTCTATAGGTTCCATAGAAGTGAATTTTAATCATGTGATAATCAAGCCATGTATTTCACAGCGTATTACTTTTACGAAAGGATATGTTAGTGTGCAACTGTAATGATGGCTGGTTTACTCGTTGAGTCTTCGAATTAGGGTAATCGCACATGTGTAATTTTAACAAAACTGACATTTTGGGGAAACTACTTCAAGACTGTATACCGAAAAATGCAAAAAAGGCTATTACTGGATGCCTTTTATACCGTATCTTCCAAACTTTTTCAAATAATTAAATGAAAATTGATGAACTATATTCTTTGCCCGTCTTTAGGGCGCTTGTTTATCGAGGTTCGTTCACACAGAAAAATCTAAAAAATCTGTAGAAGTAACCTGGTGTTAAGTCCTAAAGCACGATCTGCGAAGGCTTCTTCCTGATGTTCCGATGTGGGAGCAAGTTGACTGTCGCGTAGAAGTTTTTTTTATTAGCGCCTGGGCAAATGATGAGCTCCCAACATACCAATATTAGATCACGAATTTTTTGAAAAATTCAACGAGAAGGCGCAAATATATTTATGTTGTGCAGATAGATAATATGCCTATTCTTATTTTTCATGCGGTAAATTAAAGCGAGCAACTGGTGGAAGCTGCTTCAGTTGTCTTTCGTTAAAGCTTAATGTTATACTCACAGAGGTGATGTTGAGTAATTCCCGCGTTATGTCTTCAAGGCGGCCTATCAATTGATTCTCAGCGCTTCCTATTATCAGACACTATGTATTCCGCGATCTTGATTTCAATCATTTTTTCGACTCCGTTTAGAGAAAAACGGACAGCAAACGGTCAGAGAGAAAGAGAGGCGGAGGACAGAATTGTTCACACGCTCACCTGAACGTAACTACCACTGTTACGGCTACGTAGAATAGGTAAGCAACTTCACGAGACGTAACAATAGGTAACCTTTGACCCATCGCCACCCATTAGATGATGTTCTTCGTCAGCTCTTCGTTGTGTTTTTTTGGCCACACGTGCTTTAAGCACATTGTGTGGTTATTTCGTTTTGTCTATGCGTCGTTGTTTTTTCTTCCTCTGTCTATAAGAAATCTTATAAAAAGTTCTACTGCTACATGAGAAATTATCGGCTTCGCCCGGAGTTCCTAACGTCAGCGACACGCAGTAGTTTCTGTCCGTAGGTTGTTGTTGTGTTAACTAATTTCGTTGATCCTTCATGTTGCTATATAGCGTAGTGGTTATCGACCCGCTGACGAATACAGCTACCTTCTTAAAGATTTCTATATATTTTCTCGTCGTATACTTTTTATCGGACGAGGATGAGGCCGAGCTGGAGTCCCAGCGTCTTTTCAGCGACGAAACGCAATGTGAAAGGACAAGGAGCGGGGAGGGAGTAAGGAAAGGAACGCGACAAAACAGGCATATTCTCAACAGGTAATGATCGATTGTGCTTTTTTTACTACATTGCTAGTTTCGCCGAAGCTGTGTCCATATCTTTTCCCTAATGTTCAGCACTGGAAAGCTTTGCGTGCTACCAAAATGTATAGTTGCTTGTCACTAAGTGAACCTAGTTTAACGCCCTGTGACGGTATATGATACCAGCTGCGGTGTTGTATATGTGTGCCTCATTATTCGTCGTCGATCTTAATTAGCCATTAGATAGTACATAAAAGTACGTAAGATAGTCGAAATTATACACCTCAGGCCGAAACCTGTTATGGTCATCTAACGAAGGCGTTTGGTAAACCAGAAACTTAGCGATACGGACATGTTGACAACTGCCGCCTGTCCTGTTAAAGAACGGCACGAGTATGATGTATATATGTGGCCTTACCTTACTACTCTGCTGCTGATGTTGCTTGTTGACAGCTCTGCCATATTGACCTGAACCTTGATTAAGGCACAAAATACATGCTATGTAGACGAATGGCATGATACAGGGATCTCCGGCAAATGGAGTAACGTTCGCACAGCGAACCAAGTTTGCTAGGCTGCTCGTGATCGCCTTAACTGGAGAAAAGTGACTCACACGGATTTCTGATGATGCTTTTTCTTAAATTTTACGCCTTCGTATCGTGGTATTATCCAGTGATATATTTCTATATGGAGGGCGAAAATTATCATTAGTTATTATTACTTGTGAAGCTGGCCGCTTGTTCACTTCCTACTGCTTCATTAATAGCAACGATGCATACATGATGTATCTATAAAGGTTTCGGGAACACCATAATGACACTAATGGTAGCCATGACGATAGCTTCTTGTTGTTTTTGCAATCGTTGCGCTGTCATGGTATATGTTTCATTTTACTGCTTCTAACGAAGGACGACGAAAGAAAAAGGCCGACGACCTTCGGGCCGCTGGCTCGGCCCATTGATGAACGGACGTGATTTAATCAATCAGCCGCTGCTTCAGATAGCGGCAACAGCGTTGGGAACAGGCAAGTCAACTCCTTCTAGAATATACGAGGGGGAGAAAGTGGAAAGCAATAGTCATTATCGCATAGCGAAATCTGCCATCTTACGGACGTGTGCCTTTCTATCAATTTATACAATATATTCTATGCGTTTAGGGCTGTACAGTTGCAATTCAGTTCAGCTAAACAAACTGCTTTTTTATAGCACGCATATATATATATATATATTTGTAAGATACATAAGGGATATATTTATGTGGACGCACTTTGTTCGTCTTAGATAGCGGCTAGACAGTAGCAACGGATCTAATAATGGACGACAATTGTCAGGTCGGGCAGCAGTTTAAAGTTGAGCTAGCTGAAGCGCTTTTGTGAGAGAAAAGTGACGTAGTCCAGAGTAGACATTTTATCAACTATAGTAAATATACGTTCATGTAGTTATATACTTAATGTAATAAATATTTATAGTAACAATAATATTGTACAAGATAGACTTTATACACGTATATATATGCATGTGCTGGCCATTTCGACAATGGCTCTAACGACACTTGTAACTTCTTGCTCATCGGCTTGACCAAATGACAAACTAAATGCTCTATGAAAAACGAAATGTCTGGGAAAAATCAGCTTTATTTTAAGATATATAAAATTCGATACATTCTAATTTTAACGGGGGGAAGGATGATCTTTCCGGTCTTTTTTTACAACCGGTTTCTCAGTCAACAATTTTTCTCATTATTTTTTATTGTCATGGAAATAAGTTAAGCCCTTCTTTCAAGGTAATTGTCCGCGTTTTTACTTCACTCACTCGCTTACCTATTCAAGCGGTCTAAGAATTTTGAAAATTGAGTTTTATCTTGGAACTGCGCAGTAGCTGTGAGGGACTAACACGTCAACGAATAATTGATACACGGAAATAAAATACCCATTAGAAGGTCCCGGCATAACTGGATACGGTACTGGAACATCCTTACTTTTGTCACGGTTACGCCCTGTATATTCAATTATGCCGAATCCAAACCGCGAGATTTTGTATAACTGGGTCCCCTGTTGAAACTCGCGAAAGACAGACTTACATTGCGAAGTATTAAGATCACGTCTGATACTTTATGCCATATTTGTTTTTATCGGTTGTTGGCTATCTGGTTTGTGGGTATTGATGGATATATCTCCAGCAGACTTACGAAGCGACATGGTAGGCATATGTCGTAGCAATTATTTGCCAATACC